TCATACAATCCAGCAATCACATTTGGCATTTACTCATAGGAGTTGAAAAGTTTTTCCACACAAAACCTGCACACTGCTGTTTACGACAGCTTTATTCGTAATTGCCCAAACTTTGAAGCTTCAAGTTGTACTTCAGTAGGTATATGGATAAACTGAGGGACATCTGGAAAATGGATTATTCAACACTAAAAAGAAATGTTATCAAACCATGAAAAGACATGGAGGAAACTTAAATGAGAAACATTAACTAAAGCCAATCTGAAAAGGTTACATACATACTTTTTGATCCCATATGACATTCTGGAAATGGCAAAATTATGGGGCCAGTAAAAAGATCAGTAGTTGTCAGGGGCTGGGGTGGAGCGGAGGAATAGGTGGAGCAGATTTTTTAGGGCAGTGAAAATACTCTATTATAATGATTGATATGTCATTATAGGTTAGTCCAAACCCATAGAAAACAATGGTGAATTACAAACTATGGACTTTGGGTCATTATGATGTGTCAATGTACTTTCATTAATTTTAACAAATGTACCACTCTTGTGGTGTTGGTAACAGAGGAGCTATGTACGTGTGGCAGGAGAGGGTACATGGGAAGTCTGCACTTACCTCTCTCAATTTTGCTGTGAACCTAAAATTGCTCTAAAAAAACTCAAGTTCTTAAAAAATTTAACAGGGAACACTTACTATGTGCTGGGCATTGTTACTATACTTATTTACAGATAGAGAAGCAGGGCTCCAGGGACAATAATCTTAACCACTATGCCATCCCACTCAAAACTGTTTCCTTTCCAAATTCATGCTGTGGGTAACACCAGCTCAAACCAGAGGCTCTAGTTTTGCAGATGAAGTCCACTGAAGAATAGATTTGACAAAAGGACTAGCTCTAGGCCATACAGCTAATTCCTATTACTGTCCTCCCAAAACAGTTTTGGAGTGGGGATGTGAAGTGAATCTGTAAGGTGAAAAGTGGTATATTCTTGAAATGTTTTCTATCTCAGTGTACATCATTACAAAGTTAAAGCCCATTTATAGTCCTGCCTGAGAAAAATTTAGGTTTGAGTACAGGAGTCTAGGTGAAATTGAATCTTCCTAGCTGCCTTGTTTTACACATTTGATTCTTCTCCACAACTGATGTTCCTGACCAATCAAATCCACAAAGCCAAATGCTCTAAATTAATGTTTCTCATAAGAAATGATTATGGAAATTATTACAATTTCATGCTACTTATTTCAAAGATCATTACAGACAAATGAAGTTGAAGGGTCCATCATCTTCCCATCTAAGTCTTCTGTATACCCACTACTCTGATTTCAAAACCTTAAGACTTAAAAATCTATCAAATGTTTGATGACAGAGATAGCATTAAGAGGGAAAATACATCTTGAAACTTTGAATAAAAATTAAGTTTGTCTTCCAAATACCAGAACTTCAGCTCAACTGTGAATTCAATATCCTTCGTATTTTAGGAGGTAACTATCCTTTAGCTCATCCTAAGTACAGTATATATTTCCTCCCACCTGAAGCAAAAGTAGCAGCATCCAAAGAACTGTGACAGATGGTAGTGCATCAGCCATTTCCATTTCAAATTCCATCACTGAGAAGCCACGGTTCTGCTATCTCACTTCAGCAACTGCATTGGCAAGGTCAGCATGTCACTGTTATTCCTTATTCTTTCTTATCTCACATGACACCTGTGACCTGCAAAGACCAAGCCCATGGGTCCATCTCAACATTAGAACCAAACCCCTAACAGGTAAAACTTTGCCGGTTTTTGTACACAAATTGTCATGCATAAAGTGTTACTTATAAAGCAAAAAATGAAATAAAAAAATTAAAGAAGAGATGTGAAGACTGAACAACTATGGCCCAAGTTCTAAGACTGTTTTGATCCTAAAAGTTGCCTATACATTTCTTCAAAATTAAATTGTCTACTACATACCATACTTAAGATGTTTCACAACACTCATCTCATGGTTCTCACTTGAATATATCATGTTCAGGGATGGCAATGGAAAAGTTTACAATATAGCCATGCAAAGTCTACATATGCAACTAAAAAGTTGAATATGTAACATTTTCTAATTATCCCCCTTTAGGATTTCTAACTATGGCTTAAAAACCCAATGAACAAGTGGAAGTTTCCCTCTGTACATGGCTTTTATTATTTACATAATACAATATAGCATCAATGCTGAATAGCATGATTATGTGCAATACATAAATATGAACTATCTGTACACATCTGCAGATCTAACTGAAACTAAGATACAGAAAATTGAAAGCAAAACTGAATGCTTTAAGAATAAAAGTAAAAACTAAGACTGAACACTGCAGTAAATCAGTAGTGCCTTGTGTACATACTTAACTATTTACAGATGAAAACAGGCATTACCACGACACTAATCTAACTATACTCATTTATATATAAAAAAACACAAGTTTCATACATCACAAAAAACCTTCCATTATAACACAGAAGTGATATTACCAGACAAGCATCAGTGAAGTATACTGCCTCTTCTAGTTGTTATTGTACAATGCTGTAGATAATGCAGCCCATGCAATACACCCAAGAACACTAGAGTCCTACACCCAAGTACAATTAATATGATAAAGCAGCCCTCTGCAAGTGGTGCTGGATACCACTAAGAAGTCTACTGCAGCCATTTTGGTTATGATTTTCCATGCAGAAGGGTACAGTTACATTAAGAACTGAAGTCTTTAAAAAAGCTTTAAACATTCTTTCTTGAACCAAAACACTCAACAAAATATGCACATGAAAAATTATTGAGATACCTTTGCAACTTAAAATTCAGATGCATGTTATTCAACAGAGCTGCTGTATGTGAAAACCAAACGTAGAGTTTTAATTTCTTCTTGTAAACAAATTAATCCTAGTGCAGTTCTGTGCTATGCATTTTTAGCAATGAGAATAATGCAGACATCTTCTGGTGCAGGCCAGCACAGTAAGTTTCAAAGATAGCTCAAGACCCTGTTGGCTTGATGTTTACTCTTTGTAACCAGTTGCGATGTATACCTCTCACAGAAGGTCTTATTTGACAGCTTTTAGAAGACTAATTAACTAGGCTCACATATGGCACTGAATACTGGTTTCACGGAAAGGT